GAGGCTCCCTGGCTGTCACCTTTACAGAAGCTGATCATCAGCTCTTTCTCCCACAGAACCCCCCTGGCTGGGTCTGAACTGCCAACCTTTCAGTTAACAACTGAGCACAAAGCTTTGTGCCTCCAGGGCTCCATGAGCCTTTGTTTGCTTATCTCTGCAATGGGACTGAAACGCGGGTTTCCCTGAGGATGAGATGGGCCCTTTGTTGGCACTGCCCCCGACAAACCACGTGAACCTTCCAGTCAACTGCTGTAACTTGTGTTATCACGTGGATTCTGGAGGAGGGGAGGGCAGATGGATGGGAGTGGGAGGTGGGGACGGAGGAGTGCAGGGTGTCCCTGCAGGCTGTCCAAGGCGTCCTAAGGGAAATCCCCCATCCTCACCCCCAGCTCTCTGTAGCGTGAGCTTCTCGGACCCCGAGGGCTACATCGACTCCAGCGACTACCCACCACTGCTCCTGAACAATTTTCTGGAGTGTACGTACAATGTGACTGTCTACACCGGCTACGGCGTGGAGCTGCAGGTGAGCCCTGCGCAGTGTCTGTGTGAGGTGTGCAGCACCTCCTGTCTGGCTGTCCTGGATGCCCCTGAGCGCAGTGACGGCACCTGCGGCACAAGAAGGGGCTGCTGGGGAAGTGTGAGCTGTTGGGCCTGGAGGGAGAGTCTGCTTATCAAAGTATACGTGTGTACACACAGACACAGACACACAAACACAAACAGAGGCACCTACAGGTACACAGACAGACACATAACACACAGACACAGACAGGCATACACAGAGACCCAGACAACTACACCGACACATGTATACACAGACACACACAGACTGATCTACACACACCACACACAAAGACACAGACAGATACACAGACATATGTATGCAAACACATACATGTACACACGGACACAGACAGATACGTGCACACATGGAGATGCATAGAGACACCTATACAGATAAATACACACAGACAGACAAATGTACACACAAAGACACCCATGCAGAGATAAACACAGAGAGACACACAGACAGATACATAGACACACATCCACACAGAGAGATACATGCACACAAAGAGACACAGACACACGCAGGCACACAAACAGATACATGCACACACACAGACATCCATGCATACCTGCACACACAGAGACAGACAGACACATTCACACAGGAACAACCATGCACACATGCATGCACAGGGCCAGACAGACACATGCACTCAGATGCATACAGACACGTGCACACATGGAGACACACCTGCATTCTCACCCACAGGGAAGGCCCACCAGGCCCTAGGTCACTCCCTGTCTGGGACCTGAGGCTGAGTGGGGGGCAGTGCTGGCTGCAGTCAAACATCCTGGTTTAAGTGCCCACTTGGCCAGATAAAGCTGCGTGCCGCTGAGTCGGGTGCCTCCCTCGCTCTGCCTCAGGTAAACTCAGGGAAATAAGGGGCTAGCTTTGCAGAGTCTTGCAGGAGGAAAGAGGACAGTGCAGGTGAAGGGCAGAGTGGTTGTGCAGAGCTGCGGGGAGCGGCCCGGGCGGGGACGGAAGGGACCAGCAGGAGAGAGAGGCATGCTACCTAGAAGTCAGGATGGTCACCCTGGTGCCAGGTCACCCCCAGCGGACACCCAGCCCCCAAGGACCAGAGGGTGAGCAGTTGTCCCATCCACTGGGGAGGGCAGGGAAGGGGAGGACAGAGGCTAGTATCCCTGATGAGAGGCCCTCCCCAGCCAAGGCTAAAAGTTGGACATCCCCCCTATTTCTGAGAGGTTAGAGCTGGGTTGGTTGGCCTCGGGGATCGACCTGGAGGAGTTCCCGGTGGCACAGGAGACAGCAGGGTCTGCACTGAGCAGCCACCCTATGGGTCTGCAGCCCCTGTGCTCAGCGCAGTGTGCCGCCCACAGCAGGCCTGACCGCACAGTCATAGGGGAGGGAGTTATAGCTGGTCTGCAGCTTCATGAACTCGGCAATGCCTCCCTCCTCACAGGGCCCAGCTGAGAG